AGAACAAGAAAGAAAGACAAACAAAACAAGAAAGAGCGAAGAATTACCGACACAAAAATTGGGTCACTGACAGTCTCACAGCTAGAGGGAGGCTGGGGAGAATCCAGAATTGTTCATTCCGATTTTCCGCCTAACAACAAGCAACTTTCTCCGCTTTCGCGAACGGCCTTAATTTCGCCCTTCTGAGCAACTTTTGGACCTCCTCACATCGCCCTAGCAGTTTTGCGGTCATAGGATAGGCTTAAATAGGGAATTTTGCGAAGTCCCATATACTGTAGGAACTGCGAGTCCGTACCTACAGCCTATACTGGAGAGGTCGTGCGCACACCGGCAAAATAGTGTATAGCGGCAGCTGTCCATCTGTAACTTGTAATTGGTTCAGGCAGGAGCGCAGTCCTATACTGCTCTCTCTCTTACCCTGTCTATGTGAGTTCTGCTACATCAGAACTAACCAAACAACGATAAGAAGCCGGCGCACAGCTGAATACCATACCTCGATGATGCAGAAGGTGTGGCTGCGCACTACATTAAAGGTGGCGGCAGCATAGTGGCAATGGTAGCCCATATCAGATGGGCTGCATGTTTCAAGGAAATGCGTAGCCACACCCTACTGCTTCACAGGATATAGAGTGTAAGCCCAGAACCCTTACATGCACTGTAAGGGCAGAGTACAGTCGTTTCCGCTACAGATGTTGGTTGGTGTCAGGGTGAGGGTGAGTTTGGCTGCGTTCCCTACGAGTTGTTGGAGCGGAGAGGAGGACAGTAATTGTTGTAAAACGGGCTGGCCTCGTCAAAACCTACCCTTTGACAGCCCCGGCATTTCCAGCAAAAGCGACTATAGCTTACAAGATCACAGATCTGGAGCTCTGACTGAAGCTCTCGTACAGATGCTGTTAGACGGAGATGTGAAGTACGAAGTTTAAACGCTATGGGAAGATTATCGTCCGGTCATCATATTAGGGTGAATTAGTCACAACTCATTTCGTAGACACGCCCTCTCTAGGCCCATGAAATGAGCCGTATGATTCGATAACATGGTAAACCTAGCAAAACAAGCACTGGAATCTCGATCTTACGCTTTTCAGCCGATTGAAATGAGACGCAGCCTTTGTAGAGCACACTACTACACTCGCTGATTGACGGGACCAAGCGATCTTTGAGCCATCCAGTCATTTCTTCACTGCAACATCAAAGCTTGTGAGAATTATTCAATACAAATTACCACAGCAGATTCTGCAAATGAAGGGATACCCGTATTTCCTAACAAGGTCAGTTTCGTCGAGCTCGAAGAAGCCTGAATGCACAACCATGCTCTGTATTAGCTCAAGTCGCGTCTGCTCGTTGCATAGTATGCCGTCAACTTTGAACAGCTTTTGAGCTATGAACGTCTTCAACTCAGCGTCTTCATAAGCTTGCTAAATAGCAAAAATCATCAAACTTTGAAGGATGTGTTAGAAAATAAAAGGAAAACGCTGGATAGTGAAAAAGAAAGTCGTAAAGACTCACAAGACGCTTCAACAGAGCCCTATCGTAGAAATAGTGGATACATCGCTCTAATATCCCACCCTTGCTCCGAGACTAAAACTAATCAGTTAATTTAGAGACTTAACACAGACCACACTGAACAAACACAGTTCGGGTGAGGGGGGGGGGGTGCATTTTGCACTATCGCCATATACGCCATATACTACCTCGCGTGAAGCCATCAACAAGAGATTTGTGAAATGTTATGAAGCCAGGAAGTGATACCAGACAAAGTTTGTAAAAACTACTTGTCAATTTCTAGGAGAATACCCGTCAGCGACAATGGTAAGTACCCAAGGTCGCCAAATACCCCCCCCCTCCCAAGTCGTACTGCGTCCGCATTCACAGCATAATGGCCCAACTGACTGTGAGCACAAGTTTTATTGAATTTTTTCAACGGGATAGAAATAACTGTGGAATTTTGCCCTTTACATATGGTACAGATTCTTGCCAACGAACATTTGCCTTCGAACTTCAAGTCATTGGGTACTCCGACATCGAACCAAAAAGTAGGTTGGCACTACCTGTGAATGCTCCCAAATGCGGGTTGTATCATTATCACACAGTAGCGTGGGCTCTCAAAACGTCCTCAGTGACCACACCCATGTTCAGTCATAGCACAACACAACGCTCACCTGCCACTCATTGAAATGGGGGTAGTGCGCAAGCTTGTTGTCGCGGAGCGGAGACACTAACAGTATTTCTCATCTAGATGACACGACAGTTTGTATAAGTTCCGCACTATTCCAGTCGGGTTCTGTTGTCAATGTTAGACCTTGACGGTTAATCAATGCTGCCATGTGAACTTCTCCTACTACGGGGACGGACAAGACAATGGTACCTTTTCGCTTCCGCCGCACGCGGCTTACCGTCGCACGCGGCTTACCGTGCGGCGACGCACCGCGATTGTCGATGTGCACCTGTTTGTTGATTAGAGCAACGACCTCGTGCGCATTTAAGCAGAGACAAGTGTATGACGGGCGATATCAGATTTCCCTGTCCCTTCAACACTCAACTTTCAACGGCCATGCGGACAACTCCGTCCCTTGGACCTCGCTCGCCTCGGTCCCACTAGCGCGGCATATTAGGATTGTCTTTTCAGAGACCCCAGCCAGATAATTACAGGCTGTCTATAACACTGGCCGTACAGCCGCTTTTGTACAAGAGTAAGATCACAGTTGAATTTAGATAAACTGAAGTAACAACTCAAAAAAGACAGGAAACCTCGAAAATCTGCGCCTCGACACTCGCTTTACGTCTATCATCGTCGAAGCCTTCGTCTATGATCGCATCCTGAAAAATTTCCTTTTCATAGGCTGCCAATGAATTTCCGATTACAAGGTATCTGTCAACCGTATGCTGCTCGGGTGCTAGGATCTAAAGGTGTTTTCTCATCGCATCTTCTTGTCGAGCATTCAGTGGAAGAACAGGCAAGGGGAGAGGAGGAAGGAGGAAAGAAAAAGGAAGAAGAACGACTCCGCGGTTGACAGATGTCCTGAGACCTGAATTTCCATATCATGCGGTCACATGACAACAAACACTGTTGGTGGGGGTCCTGGCGCGAAAGTGCGGAGCGCAGAAAAGAGAGGAGTACGCTTTTTCAGGACGGAGACTCCCGGGTGAATGAGCCACTTATTATGCGTGGAAATGTTGAAATATTCAAAGCCAGAATGGACATACAATACGCTGCAGAGAAAGGCAGAAAATGATGCGCTCAAGAGATTAAGTTCAAGTTGTCCCTGGACCGGCGCAGATGGTCAGAACCGCCGCAGGTCACCTTTGCAGAGCAGACAGCATTTACATTAGGCAGCGTTCAGACTTCGCGACGGCAGCGCTTCGGTCGCGCGTTCGACGCGATCGATGCGCATGCTTTCGACTGCATTGATCGCGTCGAACGCGTGACCGAAGCGCTGCCGTCGCGAAGTCTGAACGCTGCCTTACTCTGACCATCTGCGCTCTAAGCCTAAGCCTTGACTGGGAAAGCGACGCAGAGGCCGCTGGGAGCGATCCCCAAAAAACGTTTACCCAGGACTAGACCGAAATGGGCCTGTGTATTCACAAGACATTACGAAATGATCAATATAGAATTAGCTTCTAATAGTTGTGAAAGGAGTGGGAAAGGGAAGGAGAAAAAAAACTCCTGGTGTTTATAGCTTGCGTCTTCCAAATTAATCGTGATAAATGTGACTTACAAACCGCAAACAAATGTGGAGAAAGTAAACCAACGTGGAATTCGATACTGCTAGCTAGAGAGTTAGTGTCGAACCTTGTCGATGTACGCACCTCCATCCGCTCCTAAATAACGATACAATTGGTTAGGGTGACAGTACAAAAACATCAAGCAAGGCTGGAGGTATTCAAATGAAAGGGCAGTATTATTCCCGCCTAGGATCTATTGTTGCGTGCAATTACAGACCACATCGGCCACACAGTACAGTAATCAAATCCCTCACGGGAGGGATTGCCCTCAACAACCCTCCCTTATTAAGGGTGAGGCGCCAGAGCTGTTCCACAGAGGAGTAAAGCCGTTGCACGGCTCACTCTTGTAGGAACAACCACGAATGAACCTCTGCGGAGCGGACGCCGCACTATGGGGACCTAATGCGCCCGGAAGGACCCTTAGTATAGCGTAGGCTTTGGGAAGAGGGCTAGCGATTGCCCACGAACCCTCCCGGAGCTCCAAGCGACGGAGTGCTTTACAGGGCCAGTGCCTTGCGAACCACAGCGGTGGGTGTCTTTCGTTGAGGGAGAAGACAGCCCCAGATAGAATGCTCCTGGCCTGATCCACGTTCCGCAAAAGTGGAGGTTGCTCCGCTATTACGGCTATTGCAAACCTGCGCACCTCGGAATGTGCCTTTCATTGAGGAGATGGAGGATCAACCCTTTCAAATTCTTGAAGGCTATCTCAGATGCTGTCTTTCACCGACGACATGCCCGGAAATTCCTGTTGCAGACAGCTGATGCTAATTGGAAATCAATATGGTGAGCCGAAAAGTCCAGTCTTCTTCGTTGCGGACGCTGGGGCGTGCTGGGGCGCGAGGCCGGGATTGGTGCGGCGCGGGCCTGTGATCCACCATTCGCTGACTGCCTGCCAGGCAATTGATGAAGAACAAGGAAGCACCGCACCGAACCCAGGCCCTCTGAAACGCCCCAGCTTCCGCCGCGAATAGACTATATCAGGTTTCTCTTGAATTATTTCGTTATGTGAGTCGGTTGCCGATGGAGAACTCGTGAGCACTCAGTGAGAAATGCGTTCTCACAACAGTCTGTCACTCAGTGTACGCGCTTTTGCACGATGTTCTTTCTCACAGCTGCCAAGGCTATTTGCAGGTCTTGTTCTACTGGTTAGCATTAGTGTCTGTCACCACATTGTCACGCGCGTACGAGCGATATTCGCCACACTGAACGAACACAATTAAGGTGATGGTAGAACTGACCGAATCTTCTCTGTTTACCCAAGAAATGCTTTCTCGCCAGTATCACCTTATGTATGCCGGATCAAAACACCAGAAGTATAAATAAGATCATTCAAGCTCCACCACATTTTCAACTAATTCTCGTCATACTCAGTGGGATAACGGTGGGTTGACTGCTAAGGTTCAACATTGCTTTGAAGCATCGTAAAGGCATCAGCTGAGTTTGGTTCAGGGCGCATTCAGCTGTGAAAAAAAGTACGGGAGCTGGCTTCCATGATAGTAATAGCCCCTTTTACTGTATTCCTCAGGGTTAGTGACGAACACTGTGACCCGTTCGATCTTGCGGTTCCTTAATAGTATGTGCTTCCTTGCCTCATCTGCTCATATTCCGCATGCGCTTGCTTCTGCGTTCTTAAGCAGCCTGGCACTAGTGTAGTTTGGGAGTGGGGACACCCGACAAGTCAGGTCGAGCAAGAACTGATAGTCTGATAAGCTCTTCTGATGTAACGTTGAGCCTAGCGTGGAGAAGTGATCATAATATCTGTGAGAGGACGCAAGAAGCAGAGTTAGTCGCGTCATCGTGCGATCCCTCACCCCTCCCCCCCCTATCACCAACATCAAACAACTTAGCATGTGACACCAGAGATTCTTCGATAAACTGTAGACCGCAGGAGCTCAATCTGGAACGTACCTGAGATGGTCAAATGAAAATAATGTCTAGCACCTCGGACGAGCTTCAGTAACGTATCAGGTCGCTCCAGTAGTTGTGCCAGAATTGTCAAGATACGAATTGTTTTTGTACCCAAGACTAAAAAGGGGGGGGGGGTGACAGGGTATACAAATAGGAGCCTTAAAGATGCCGCTGTACAACGTTCGTGAAACAGGAAAAGCCGCGTATCAAAAAAAAAAATTCTCAGGACCGGAAGTATGGCGCTTCTTCCTACGGATACGGACCCCCTCTCGTGAGGAGGCGCTATTGTAGTGTGCGGAACGGACGAAATAACGGATAGTGAAACGGTCAATCCTGTCGAAGAAAAGCCTCCCTTCTCAGTGACTTGTAAATCGATTCGGACGAGTTTCCGTAGGCATCTTGCCATCACCCGCTACCGAAGATACGGCTGTATATGTGTACCTACTTGATGCTGCAGCATCACCGCCGCTTCATACCAATCCCTTTGCTTCATAATTTGCTCAGCAAATGAATGAATACGAGCGTCAGGAACGGTCGTCCGTTTGTGGGCGGGCGGGAGGAAGGCGTTTGGGACGGAATGTTGTTGCTCGATAGGGCGTTATAGGGGTACAAAAGGCGCCACGGAGCGCCTGTCCGAGGTCACGGAATTCTGTTAAGCCAGTCGTATAAATCCTACATCTGTATAGCGATTTATCGTGCCAACTGCCTTTGAATCACGCTAACCGTACGTTCCTCTTTGCGTAAGGAGTACGAATCTCCAAGCAGGACACGGATTGGGGTGAGGGTCCCCTGCGAGGGTGTAGTTGGTCGGTGTAGGTAGGGGGGGGTCTGCCTTCGTGAGAAATGTTTTCGGTTGTTGACATTCCTAGGCTATTCCCTCTTCAGGTGCCTCCGTGTCCTATATACACACTCCCTGCCCCGATTAACGGCAGTTTTTCTGGCATAAACTGGTGAACTTTTGACAAAAAAAAACTCCGGGCAATTGGTAGGAAGTTGGGAGAATTCAGGAAGGGGTGAGGAAAAGGGGTCATGCCGGAAGAGAAAATTCTTAAGGAGTCGTATCTCAAGAAAGTTTTCCCCAGCAGTAGGGTGTGCCCTGTCTCAGAGGCGTTCAGAAAGTAGAAGTTATAAGAGGCCGGTATGAGATGGATCCTCTTCGTTTTTATCACCCCTTCGATATTCATCTAATTAGGAAGGTGGGGTTCACCAATTAAAAAGAGCAGCAATCTATATGACCTGGACAGCAAGTAATGGGCCTTCAATACTACTGTTCCCCGAGTTTATACCTGTCGTCGTGTACTCATCGTTTGAGCCTTATTTCGTAAATTCACATTATTTCAGCACAGAATAAAGTTGGTGACATAAAAATGGCAGAAACTCAGCAGAAACTCAGGGACGTTAGAAAAGTGTTCGGAGAATTCCAGCTTCGTAAACCGAAAACCGTCAGTTTTACGACTTTCGTTGCTAATTGCTTTACCAATTACGGAAGCACAAGGTGTGCCAAAATCAAGCCCACTTCACTGAGACGCGGTAGGCGTGTCTGCGTACTTCATTTGAGCACGGCCTAGGACTGAGTTACTTTGACACCTCAAAATCAACTGGCTTCCCGTTTGCCAGCTGCTACGTTCCCCTATCACACTCCATCTCACCCTCTCAAGGCAATTTAAGGACGGACATCAAATCGACAAACATCGTCTTGTTCGCTGCAAATCTTGGGGCGTTCAGTGCGGCCGCGTTTGGTGCGCCGCCAACCCGTTCTCCACCAGTTGGTGAAAATGGTTAGCCAGAGCAATTGGTGGAAAAGGCTGATACAAACAATACAATGCAGCTTTGTTGCCGGCTGAGGGGGAAAAAGGAAAAAAAACGGGCTGGCCTCTCTCCAAACCCTTACAAGCCCCATCATCCAAAACGGACAAGACTGTACTTAAATACTGATGAAGCGGCAGAATCCGCTGATTTCGAATGGGTGCTGTTAGACGACCGTCTTGAGGAGGATGAA